TCATATAGCCACAGGGAACAAGGACTTAGAGCATATTTGGAACCAAAGCTAAGGCCTGTTTTGTATGTGCTGGGTTTGAGGATACATCCAATTATCACCTTAGCAGGTGTCTGTCTATACATCTACCTTCAGTGGCTTTACACACTTTGCAAAATATCCTCCTTCATGGGTATTCCACATTGCTTACATAGTGACAGGGATTAAAAACAAAACTAAAAAATAAATGTCAGTGTTTGCCTTCCTTTGATTCTTAACACATCACCGTCTTTCCTTCCAGCTTAGTTTCCAGGGACAAGCTGAGCACAAATGTTTCCTAGAAATAATGGGCTTTGCAAATAACTATAATAACTATATAGTAACTGTACTATATTAACTGTCGATAAGCTGAGAACTGAGTCTGAAATGCAGACCAGGATTTTTTCTTACGAAACCATGGCTTACCTTTGCGTCCTTCATCTTCTCTGCTATGTTTGTGGCTTAATCACAGGGGGAGGAGCTTAGCTCATTTCTGCCAAATATGGGAATGAAAAACTTCTATTTTCAAACCAATTAAAAAATCATTTTAAATTAAGCATTTAATCACAGCTGACTTAGATCACACCAGGCTCCAACTAGTTCAACATAACCAATTACTACTATCTCCTATAGGTCAGGTCCCATTTTTCAAGTGCTGTATGAATATTGCACCCATTTAATCCTTCAGACGACTGTGTGAGAGGCAGGGTGAGAATTATCAGAGGAAACATCTCAGAAGCAGCGAATGACTCGCCAAGGTTCCCAGAGCCAACGTGGTTGCTTACTATCCACATCCTGTTCATGTGTCAGAGTTCAGGTTCCCTTCCAGAGGCCACAGCTGATAAAGTATGTCAGCCTTAACATAGATGTTCCAATAGGCTTGGTGTTCCTCTAACCTGGGTGTCACTGATAAATCAAAAAAAATCATCTGGATTTCCTAAAATCTCCCCAGTGCCCCAAATCTCAAAGGGCTGGGCTTCGTGCACAATGATAACATGGAGTTCGCCGGGCTTGATCTTCTCCGTTTCCCAACACAACACAGACAATCCCCTCCTCTGACAGCCACTAAAAAGAAAATAGTAACAAGAAGCAGAGCTTATAAAATTCCATTACACTTAATGCCTGATTTTACTTAGTTAATGGATTCATTTATTAAAGCAATTTGTGTAAATCTCCAAGGGCCTGCTAAGGTTGCTGCCTTATGGTTTTATCACGTCATATACTTCCTTTATTTCTATCCTTTAACAAATAGTGGATTGGCAAGGAACTTTGAACCAACTACTGCTCAAACTATAGGTAAATTACAAATAAAGTTTAAAATAAGGACTTTTCATGCCCCAGGGGTTTCCTTTAGCAACAAAAAGGGATTTCATTTTTTGTATGTTTCAGCTGAGTCATCAATCCCAGCTACCATTGTCTGTCAGTTTCATGTTGACTCCAAGCTTATTTTCAGGAGCCTACTTGTCTCCTTCAGGTTTTCAGGTGTGGATATGAAGGGTTTGGGGAGCCATCTGACATCAGTATAGGCACCCTCATGATGGTCCCTCTCACTGAGGGGAGCAGGCAGACAGCAGAGGTGTGGCCTTGTATAACTGCAGGTACACTGTGGTCAGGAGGGAGGGGCCCCTGAGGACCTGCTGGGCTCTGGCCGAGGTCAGTTAGCCAGTGAGAACTCCACAATGATTAAGTCTGGGCTGTATGGCTCATACACACATGATCTAGAATCTAGGTGGATCTAGAAGAAAGTCCATTCTTTTTTTTTTTCTTCTTTTTTTGAGATGGAGTCTCACTCTGTTGCACAGGCTGGAGTGCAATGGCGCAATCTTGGCTCACTGCAACTGCCGTCTCCCAGGTTCAAGCGATTCTCCTGCCTCAGCCTCCTGAGCAGCTGGGACTACAGGCACGCATCACCACGCCTGGCTAATTTTTGTATTTTTGGTAGAGATGGGTTTTTGCCATGTTAGCCAGGCTGATCTTCAACACTTGACCTCCGGTGATCCACCTGCCTTGACCTCCCAAAGTGCTAGGGTTACAGGCATGAGCCACCATGCCTGGCCTGAAAGGCCATTCTTAACATGAAATTGCCCCACAATCAGAAGCAAATGGGGACCTACACCGGAGGAAGTCAGAGACAAGGAGAAACAAAATTCAGCCCACCTGAGATTGACAATACAAATGACTATCTGTTCAGTTAAGTGGCAACCACTAGTATATAATTATTGTCTCCTGTACCAAATGAAGTACATAACTTAGGAAGTGCTTGGAAAAAATAAATGAAAGAAAAAATTCATTATCTCTTAGTTGTACTTTAAGGAAGGGGAATCTGGTGATGGTTGTGTGCTAATGGAGAGGTAAGGCGTAAAGATAACCAAAGAGCTAAATTGCTTTACTTTGGAAGTGGATCCAGAAGGGAGTGGAGTGAGAAGTTAGAATGAGAGGCTGGGTGGAGAGAGGAGTGAGTGGAGAGACAGAGGAAGAGACAAAGGGAGAGAGAGTAAGAGAGCCAGAGGTGGGCACAGAAGGACTTAGAGGCTTATGGATAAGAGAGAAAGTTTGGAAGAGACAGTGAGGATGGAGAGAGATTGTACTATGCAAGGTAAACTCTGCAATCCTCTCTATGAAATTGACATAAATAAAATTATATATATATGTAATATTATATTTATTTTCTGTCTGTTGCTTATTATGCGAAAAGAATTGATCGAAGTTTCACCATATGGGATAAAGGGGACATTTGGGACGGTCTGACTTTAAATATAGTTTATATGGTATATGCAAAATTCTCTTTGGGGTTCTTGGAGGCACCTCCAACAGTAGCTGAAACCAGGGACAATGGCGGGCCCATGTGGCAGCAGAGTGGGAAAAATGTACCAGACACGTTAAAATGCCAGGAGCAGAGAAAACAGATGGAGGCTTCCAACATGAGCCCTCATTTTAAAGTCCTAAGGACAAATTATTGTAATTGGTGTCGATTTATGAGGGAACTGTCTCCTATGACAGCAGCTCCACAAGGCTGCTGCAGGCACTGATGGATGGTTAGTGCAGGGAAGACAGCGTAGCTGCTGGTCTTCCATGATGCTCACGAAGCTGCTGGGGTGGGCTTCTCCTGGAGAAGGAGGAGATGCATGGAGTCCTGTTTCATGGATGACATGGGGGCAAAAGGAGAGGCTGTTGGTGGAGACTAGCCAACCTTTGGGTCACAAATGAATAAATATATGAATGACAAGTTAATGGTGGCAGATGTACACGCCAGCCAATGGGTGAAAACCCCACTTCTCATAAAAAGACTAGTGTTGATAAAGTCACTAAACCTTTTCATGGTGATCAAGAGAAAAATGGGGCTTTCCGTTCCCAGATTCCTTTTGCGGTTCAGCTCCATTGCTTACTAGCTGTTGCCCTTGGGCAGGTCACTGAACATCTTTAAGCTTTGGTTTTATTTTATTAAAACTGAGGATAATATTAGTGTCCACTTCAAAGGATTATGGTGAGATTACTTGAGATAACCTGTAGCCCAAAATACATTAATGATGAGGATGATGATTTTCATTCCAAGACCACTTGGTAATCAATATGTATTGATGATCACATTCACTACACACACTTACAAAGTGCAGCTCCCAGGCCGGGCACGGTAGCTCATGCCTGTAATCCCAGCACTTTGGGAGGCTGAAGCAGGCGGATCATGACATCAGGAGTTCAAGACCAGCCTGGCCAATATGGTGAAACCCCATTTCTACTAAAAATACAAAACTTAGCCAGGCATGGTGGCGCACTCCTGTAATCCCACCTACCCGGGATTAAGGCAGGAGAATTGCTTGAATCGGGACCTGGGGGACAAAGGTTGCGGCGAGCCGAGATCGTGCCACTGCACTCCAGCCTGGGCTACAGAGAGAGACTCCGTCTCAAAAAATAAAAATAAAAAAAAAATTTTTTAAAGGTGCAGCTCCCATGTTAGTTTCCTGGTCTCTTTTTGGCCTCTTTCTTTTCAGAGTCACCGGCACTTCCTTCTCCTAAATGGTGGGGCAAGTATATGTTTTAACCAGTTCTAATGCTCATTGGTTTTGTTTTTTAATCCTCTGAGGTGTAAGCGATGCATTTTCACATTAATAATATAACTTTGTATATAGTGGCTACATACAATGTTAAAGGTATATTATATATAACATGGTGGTTTCTGTGTTCTATCACACATTAGAAAATAGCTAGGATGAAAACAGCCTGTGTGCAAGGGACAGACCCACCTCTCAGCCACATGAAGCTATGGGAAGCTGTGGAATGGGCAGGGACCAGGCACAGCCTTCATAATCTGTCTCGTAACATTTCCTTTGATATGGTGTTTGCCCTTTACAAACCCCACTCACTCCCACTCTGTGCCTTTTTCCCTGGTTCCAGCTCTGTTTCCCCCAGTCAATCCAGAAGGTTGCCTTAACACACTAACCCTTTGCTGTCCCTGTTGTGTCCCTGAAAGGCCTCCTGTGCCTTTGGCTACAGGTCCTGAATGTCCAGGCCATCTGTGCTATCTGCTTCGCTGTACCTCATCAAGACAGCGTGAGGGTGGAGGGCAGAACCTTGGTCCTGGCCTCTCAGCTTTTGTGGGTTTCAGCCAGACCCCGGGTGTTATTTTAGTGCAACTTTGGTGTTTAATTTGAGGATGTGTGTGGACCAGAAGGAGGGACCAAAACATGATTTTTTTTTCCCCTTGGTCAAATGATTAAATTTGAAGTTCTAAAAAATGCACAGTTTGGTCCAAAGCTGTGTCCAACTGGGAAGAGAGAAATGCCCTGGAAACCCCTCCCAGGCCTGGGACCATCCTTCCTTAACCACCAGCCGCCCCACAGGCCTGCGGACTGCGGGCATCACCTGGGCAGGCTGTGCTTACTCACTCCCCAGGAGCCCTGTGCCCTGAAGCTGTCCTTCCTCTCTTCAAAGTGCATTTTGTGCCTTTGCTGGAAGAACCGACTACAGATTTGTTCAATTTCTTACAGTCTTGAAAGCGCCACAAGCAGCAGCTGCTGAGCCATGGCTGAAGGGGAAATCACCACGTTCACAGCCCTGACCGAGAAGTTTAATCTGCCTCCAGGGAATTACAAGAAGCCCAAACTGCTCTACTGTAGCAATGGGGGCCACTTCTTGAGGATCCTTCCGGATGGCACAGTGGATGGGACAAGGGACAGGAGCGACCAGCACAGTAAGCCCATCTCTATGACACCCCCTTCCCTTTCTGACAGCTTCTGTAGTCGAGGTGGGAGGAAGGTACATATTTAAGTACAGGTACTTGCTTCTCCAGGGTTCTATTCAGGCGTGACACATTCAGAGGTGGAGTCACATAGATGTGTAGAATGTCTGGGTTTGGAAAATAGGGAGTTGTGGGGGCCACCACTTACCCAAACGTGTCCTATTTCAAGTTTTTTAAAGCACTCTCTGCTGACCCAACAGAACTGGCTGCCGGTGCTCGATCCCTGTATGTTTTCCCAGGTTTCTGTAACTAGTGAAGGATCTGGCCCCCAAGGCTAGTCAGGGGTCTGCATGCTCCATGATGGGATGAACCAGACGGGCATGGCGGTAAATCCTGCACAGAGATGTGGGTTCCGTTTCAAGTCAACTGACTCTCCTGGTTATGTTTCCACTGGGCTTGATTTGTGAAATCCTAGTTCATAATCGTAGTCTTACACAACATAAATTACGCAGCTTTCCCTCTGCGTATCACGCAGATGTGGCTGTGGTAACCAGCAGAGGTAAAGTCATTCTCCAGACCTTATAGAAACTGGAGAGTAGGAGCGACTAGCGCCAAATGCTGAGTATCTCTTCCAGCACTTCCTGGCAGCCCGGGTCTCAGAGGTGTTGATAAATGAAGGTATGACTCTGGAGAAAAGAATCTTCTTGACTCTCTAAGTATAAAAAAATCTCTTCCTTCTGCTTTGATACTTCTGGCACTGGTGTGTATGTTTGATATTAGGTGTCCAGGTCCTATCATGATGTCATCTGAGATCCCCTGAGTCCCACTGCAGCATCAGAGGTTACAAAGAAGCCTAAAGCCAGATCCAGTCCCTGCTTACAGGGTCAGCAATCTCAAGAGTCAAACATAAAACAAATCAAGAGAAGGAAAATCAGGAGACACAGAAGAAGCCAGGCAGGCAGGAAGTTTCTGTAGGACTGGCTTTAAAATGCAATACAAAACACTCACTTTGACATGATGGTTTATAGATCAGGTGGTCTTAATTATTCATGGACCATGCACCAGAGGTTGCAGGTTCTAAGCACAAATGACCACTTCACTGGTGCTCATGCTCTACCCTCAGATGCACGGGTAATGGAGATGGACGCTGACGTTTACACACGAGGTGACATTGTTCCTTCCTCCCCACCCACCACACAGACCCTTGAGATGAGGAGCAGGAAGGCTGACGCTGGGGCTTGCAGCTGCAGAATTAGCTCTTTTGGGCTTTGTTTTGATGGTTTATCTTCAAATGGGCTTGCTGAATGCGTTATTTTCAGTGAAAAACAGGTGTCAGAATGAGGCAAAAAAAGGACTCTAGTTTGTTAAAAAGCATACATAAGCAATGTTCACTGCAAATTAGCAAACTTAGATTGTAGTCCATTGTGTCAGGCATGATACACAATTCATGTGATCTGCCCCACAGAACACAAGGGAACAAGCTTTAATTCCTCTGGGTTTTAAGTGTTCCTAATACATCTTACCAATTTTCTGAAAAAGTAGGGAATGCTCTCCAGTCCTCAGAACCCAAGAGGAAAGACAAGCTTCGTGATATGTTCCTTGGGGTTAAGCTAGCTCTTCTGGGAAACCTTGACTTCTGGAGTAACAAGAGGCTCCAATACTGGAATTTCTTTTTTTTTTTTTTTTTTTTTTTTTTTGAGACGGAGTCTCTGCCGCCCAGGCTGGAGTGCAGTGGCCGGATCTCGGCTCACTGCAAGCTCCGCCTCCCGGGTTCACGCCATTCTCCTGCCTCAGCCTCACAAGTAGCTGGGACCACAGGCGCCCGCCACCTCGCCCGGCTAGTTTTTTGTATTTTTTAGTAGAGACGGGGTTCCACTGTGTTAACCAGGATGGTCTCGATCTCCTGACCTCGTGATCCGCCCGTCTCAGCCTCCCAAAGTGCTGGGATTACAGGCTTGAGCCACCGCGCCCGGCCTGGAATTTCTGTAGCAATGGAAAATGGCTTCCTTGTTGTCATTCCATCATTAGCAAAACAGACTGCATTCTGGGTGTGTAACGCTGGCATAACTTCTGGAGTCCACAGTGGATTTGGTCGCCTGACTTAGGATGTCAGGAACCCCTAGAAAGGAGCACAATGTAGCCCTGGGAGTGCAGGAGAGGATTTCTGCATTCAAGGAATGCCAGATTATTTTCCAAGTGAACTGGGGCAACTGCACCTTTCTGTCCTCACTTTTCTCATTTGTACAAAAAGAATACTAATATTCCTTGCCTCACAGGTTTCTTGGGAGGGTTAAATGAGATAATATAGTGAGAGTTCTTGGCACAGTGGCTGGCACAGAGGAACAGCGCAGCACGTGTTGGTTCATATTGCAGTTATCATCATCGAGCCTTCTATATAATCAGCCTAGCATATGGTAACAGAGGGTCGTATTTAAGGACCTTCCAGACTCTTCTTTTTTACAGTACTGCCACCCAGGAAAGCCAAGGGGCTAGATGCAGGCTTGGATTCAGGGTTTCTCTGCCAACACTCAGAGTTGTCGTGTGGGCCTATCATTTGCTTACTCTGAACTAGGAACAAGGACCACGAGGACAGAGATCAGAATAAGTGGGGTGGGTGGTCAGAAGCCCATCCCTGTACCTGTCATTACCGGAACTGGATATTCCGCTGCAGAGTCAGCAGGCTCCAGTTCAAGCCTACTCTGCCCCTTTCTGCCTGGAGCAGCCCTGGACAATTAACGTTCTTGCCATTATGCATTCTTTCTGTTTGCAAACTCTGCAAGAGAAGCTTCAAGCTCCCCAGCCCTGGGACTCCAGTCCTTTCCTAACTAGAAATTTAAGTGTCTCCAGTGTTCCCAACTAATTTTCAGGAAAATCATTTAATCTCGCTGAGACTCAGTTTCTTCACCTGTGGAATGGAATGGCAGCATTGCCTAGTGTGCCTCATAAGGGCGAAACTTCTATTTACTAGGATTCTGCAGGTGAGAGGCGTCCTGGGCACGGAGGTACTCCCTGAATGTGGTTCTGTCGCCCTCTTCTGCCCAGTGGTGGTACTGCCAAAGCCCTTCTGAGTTTCAAGGGTTATTCAGAAACAGAATTGCCTCGGCCAGGCATGAGGCGGATGCTCCCTGGCTACATGTGATCCGCACGGCCTGGCAAGGAGATATTTTCGATGCCTTGATCACTAGTTTGAACATAATTAGAGACTGAGGTGACAGAGTCACATGTTAAGACTTCCTTCAGAAAGAGCGTTTCTAAAAGCCAATCGAAAAATTTAAAAAAATCACACAAGACAAGAACCGTATGCCTTTGAGCTCTACAAGACAGAAATAACTCCTTTCATGGCTTCTCTTTGTCCCAAGGTCATTGATCTTTCCTGGGTAAGTGTATCTTCTTCCTGCCTCAAGGAGAATGAGTTTCCAAGTACCTAACATTTCTTACAGTGGTATAACGCTAGGGCAGATGCTCGTGTGGGGGCCATTCTAATAGAGACCTGAGTAAAATGTCTCTACTGGTGGACTTCTGGCCTGCAGAGAAGATGGTTTTGGTTTGTCCCGTTACCATTCTTCAGATCACTGCTGCAGGCAGTTACCAATATGGACTGTGGACGCTGGTTATGCTGCCATGCTAGGAAGGCCAGGCAGAATCACCCAGGGAGTGCTGCATAGATCCCAGGGCTGATGGGCACAGTTTGTGAGAAGGTTCATGTTGGCCCCTAAGCTTCAGCTCAGGGAGACACATAAATGGTGTCACCATGAGAGGGGGGGGTCCTGGAAGAGGATCAGGACTGGGGGAAGATGGCCAGTTCCATTTTGGACACAAGCATTTGAAGAGTGTCTCATGTACCATGCAGCCGTCCTTGGGGTTATAATTCTCCATTTATTTGTGCAATTATTTAATGGTTTTCCCTCCTACTGGACTCCTAGAGGATAAGGACTTTGTCTCTTATTGCTCAACACTACAAACTTTGTGTCTAGCACATTGCCTGCCACTTGGTAAAATGCCCAGTAAACATTAATTTTATAAGTGACTGAACTGTATTGGTGGCAGCTAAATTCAAAGTCAACAATATATTCAATAAACATCTGTGAGCCCTGATATATGCTGGGCATTGTGTTGAACTCCTCCACTTCCACCTAACCACAACCTTGAGAGGTTACTAATTATCATTACTCTAAGAACACTGCAGCTGACAGGCGTGACCAGCTCCTAACTGGGAGGGCTTGGCACCGACCACATCTTCTGTTTCCAGGACTAAGGCTCCTTCTGTATCCCACCACCACCTGACACCAACATCATGACAGCGGTTCCGCCCCACAAACTGATTCAATACACACATCTGTGCTGTGGGTCAGATGGGTGGAGGTCAAGTCCCAGCACTGCTATTTACCAGCTGTGTCATCCTGGGACAGTTACTTCTCAATGTGCCTCAGTTTCCTTGTTTTAAAAGCAAGAATGACAACAGCACCCACTCATCGGAATGTGGGAGTTTTAATGTGATAATGTTTGTAAGAGTGTTTAGCACACTGCTAGGCACATAAGTGCTCCAAAAAAATGATATTGATCATCATTCTTCTGGGATTCCTGAGCCTTCCTCACCTAACCACCTGACCTGTCAAGTCTGTTAGATTAAGTGAATGCTATGCTTGCTCGCAGAACTGAGGGTGACTCTTTGTCCCAGCTTCTCTGGGACTACCTGGGTTGAAGCCCCTGAGGCCTGACACAGAGGCATAATGTGCCCAGGCACAGGTGCAGCAAACCCCGCTCCATCTCACTCCTCTGGCAGGGCAAGTCTGCTCTGTGTTTGATTCTGATCTTTCTGGGGAGTTTCCTCTCTGGTGAAGGGGGACCATGACTTATCCCTCAATGGGATTATTAACTGGAACAATAATTAGAGAATAATTTCCTTATGAGCATTCCAAACCTGCAGCTGCCTGCCATAGCCCACAACCCCTCACCTCCCCAAGCACGCAAGAGGCTACGTGGGGAGCAGAATTACCGGCACCACTCACTGC